ATTTACTTATAAAGCGTGCCACCCGCGTTGTTGGCTTGTTATTGCATATTCAAGCAATTGATGTTTGTGAACGCAAAATCTTTGCCGCAGCTGCGACTTGGTGTGAATAGTGTCGAACATTTGGCCAACTTAATGTCAAGTTATGTCCAAAATCGAGCTATTCACTGCTATTCAGATTATGCATTTTTTTCTATTTGCTCATTTTGTGCAACTTCAGTCATAAATTGCAAGAGCAATGAACGAGCAGCAGGTTGGATCTTTCACCTGCCAATTGGCGTGACAACCCTGAAAGCCAAAAGCTGCGACAACTTCATTATGAGGATAATAATCGTCATCATCGCCGCCTTGTTGATTTCTTTTGACGAAAGCGTCAAGCGACCAACGCAAACAGAAAACTTTTCTTAATGAAGCCGACGAATGCAACTAACTGTAATATGGCCATGGCCATGTAGCTGTTGTTGTTGTTGCTGTTGCAGCCGCTGTTGACTTTTATGATTTCCATTGCTTAGCATTGTAATGGACAAGCAGGCAAGCAGCCGAAGCGACAAATAGAAAACTCACAGCTAGTGGGAAAGAAGAAGTGAGGACGGGCGAAAAAATCAATAGAAATCCCAGACAGCAAACAAAGCAGATGAAATGTTGGAAAGCATTTTAGTTGACAGCGAGAAAGAGCTGTTTGTGGATGGTGATTGGGTGGTGTGGAGGGGGAGAGGGTAATGAAAGAGTGCCAGTGCGTCTACCATAAACTGTAACAATAACTACAGTTGCCACCTCGCCCAATCACCAGCCGGTAGCCACCATTGATTGCAATGCCGAAGTCGAAGCATATAGCTAGACAAATGACAGAGAAACGATTCGAGGGACCTGGATACATAACTGGACATGTGGACGTATGGACAGGTGGACTAAACGACAGCTGTGCAGTTGCTGGCTGCCCAACAAGGCATATGATGCGATTTCACTTGACAGACGTAAGCAAAGTGTTTGGCTTTACTTTTATGATTTTTCTTGTCTTCTGGCCCCCACACCACCCCACTGTGGCGGACGACTTTCCCCACACCTGTGTCTGCTAGTTCGCCAGTTGTGTGTTGGTGTTACATGGAAAATGTGGAGCAAATGCTAGTCTCACTGGTGATGATAGTGATACGATACTGATGTTGGTAGCCCATCAAATACCATTTGTTTCGTATTTAATCTGAGAGTTTTGTGCTCGCCCACAAAAATATTGTCGTACACAACTCATAAAAAGCCCATTTATAAGTGTTAACTTGTACAAAAGTATTTACAGACGATTTACCCGCTCGCAGAATTACACACAGAGTACAATTGCAATTGTTTATTTGTGTTGGAGGCCCCCCTCCCCTCTCTCCGTTCGTGCTCCTTCATCGTCATCATTGGACCATCCAGTGTGTTGGCAATAAAAAGTGCTGTTATTATTTGAACAATGTTGTATTTGTGTTTTTGTTTGCTTGCTTGCTTGCTTGCTGGTTGTTGGTTATTGGTTGTTATTGTTGTTATTATTACAGTTGTTGTTTAGTGGCCACACAGCTGCTGCTGACACGCAGAAAATTTTCAATGCAACAAACACAACCTCGCAATGAAACAAGTTTAAAAAAAATAAAGAAACAAAACTGAAAACAAAAAGAAGTGGGCTGAGCACACAAAGTTGGCGTTTGTTCTACAAGGGTATTGTGTATGCCTGTGTGTGGGTGTGTGTGTCTGTATGTATGTTGACAGTGGCAAGGTGTGAAAGGCGCCATGTTTGAACAGTCATTGGAGGTCAGGAATGTGGAGCACAAACAGGCAATGCATTCAGTGCAAGATAGGGATATAGAAATACTTGTAGATTGAAAGAACAAGTGGACTGAGTTCCACAAAGAGATCCCTCAACTAGTTTTTGAAATTGCCACATTTTCATTCATTTCGATGAAATACTATTAATAAAGCTTTTGCACGATGGCAAATAACATAACATTAATTCTTTTCATCCTTTTTCTGGCTATACATTATCCCGTGTTCACAAATCCAATGACTGTTGTGACAGTCTTATCAACAAGGAATGAACTATTTTAATGCTCAAAATGTGCAGTCTAGGATCGAACCACGGCACAATCATCAGCGCAGAAGCATGATCGAAGTTTTCTTATAAAATTTAACCATTGCCCAAACCAGGCCAGATCTTAAATAAAAAACCGAAGTCGATCATGTATTACTAATACATTAATAGTCAATCGTTTTCCATTGAAAGATATCAATAATGGCGGTCTGTTTTAATAAAATCAACATTTTGCAGCAAGAGCAAGAAAATACACGTACAGTAATTATCCCAATTATGGAAAAAAAAACAAACTCAGCTTTTTATTTTCTCGATTATGTATTACTAATACATTAATAAGCAATATTTTTTCCATTAAAAGATATCAATAATGGCGGTCTGCTTTAATAAAATCAACATTTTGCAGCAAGAGCAAGAAAATACACGTACAGTAATTATCCCAATTATGGAAAAAACACAAACTCAGCATTTTCTTGGAACCATTTGGGAAGAGTTCCCATACCATCGAAAATTTTATAAATATAACATCGAATATATATTTATTTAATTTGAAACCTAATTGTTTCAATAAAATAGACAGACAATGTTTAGGTAGATAGAAGAAGAAACTTAAAACTATAAAACTTACTTTACAAAATTTGATAGTTTTTTCCTCAAGCCAAAATGTTGCTGATTCGCCCTTTTAGCGTTTTTTGTTTGCTTTAATTTTCATGCTAAGTAATCCAATTGATGAAAATCGAAATGCCAAACAAAAATTCCCTTTATAGCGGAAAGGAATAGAGTTCATTCCGCTAATTGCCTCAAAGGAGAGACAGGCAGAGAGGGAGGGATTGAGGGAGAGGCTTTCATAACCGCAGCACTGGTAACTTCCACTGTTTGCTTTGGCAGTTTCGCCCATGCAGCCATGAATGCAACGATTAAAAAACAATAATATTTGTATGTACTATTATATTTTATCTGGCGGCAACCAATACGGCATTTATATGAAAATGGGCTTTGTAAAAAGGAATTTTTTCGGTTTGCCGGCAGTTGCAAACTTTTATGTGAGTGGCATTGTAGATTTTTTGTTCCCTACAATATTTCATATTGATTTTGTTGTTAAATAAAAACAATAAATATTTGTTTTTATAGACACACAATACAGGCCGTTTAATGGACGATCGATAGAAGTGCCCCGCAGTGTGGTGGCAAAGTGAAAGAAAAAGCAAAAGCAAAAGCAAAGTTGCCACTTTTTTACTGGTTTGCTTATTACAGAAAGAAAAAAGCAAAAAACATGAAAATAAAAACGTAATACGAAAACAAACCGCCACAGCACTTTAAAATGGAAACCACAAGAGTTGTCTTGCTCGGTCGGTTGTAGCATTTTTCAAGAATTGGGACAACAAGACGCATAAATAACCGACTTGCAACAACCAGCACGAAGCAGGCAAGAAAAATTAACACAAAAAAAAAAAAACTAAACGAAACGCAACTGCAACTGCAACAACACTGCAATACAGCACTTAGAATAGCAAACAAGCAACAGACAAGCCTGTGTTGAAATGGAGTGGTGATTGCGGCAGGGGGTAGGGTAAGGGGCACGCGCCACTGTCGTTTTGGGGCAAGGCACGAGCACAAGACTAAAAAGAATTGCAACTAAACACAAGTGCGCTTCAGCCAAGATGAGAGATTCATCTCTCAATCCCCTTTCCCGGCCCAGCCATCACTACAGCGTCTCGGCAAGAAAAGAAAGCGCCTCAGAATGGGATGTGCTGGCAAGCTGATACCGGTTTTTGGGCCATACGGACACGGCGGCGGGTTTATTTTTCCGTTGGGACTCCAACTCTGACTCTGACTGTGACAAATCAAGCGAGAAAAAACTCGTGCCCGAGAACGAAACGCAAGCAGCGACGCCGGCTGAGACTGCGCCAAAACGTCAATGGCCAACGCGTTCGCAACCTGCAGTGGCAGAAGCAACGCGTAATGGCGGCAGGAAATTGAAAAAAGCTTCGTGAGTTAGTTTCATTTTGATTTTTTGTTTCTGCCTTAGCTTTTTGTGGCATGTTCTTGGTGTATTTTCTGTCCAGATGCCTTCCAGCACGCCAGTTGCAGAGTGTGTGTTTTATGTCAACGGTCCATGCACTTTGTTGGCTTCTCTATACACACATTTCCGCAAAGCGTCAAGGGTAGCAAGAAGTATTGAAGATTTTTCTACCCGCTCTTAGAACTGAAATAGTTCTCATATCTAAATATGCGACTTCCTCTCAAAAATGTTATGTGAGCTTTGAAAAAATCGCTGAAAAGTCGAGACCTTTAAACCTTAGCTCGTCCATTGTGTATATTTATGATATGATTATGAATTTTTGTAACAACACAAAGCCATATTAAGTGACGAATCATTTGTGAATAACATGATTTTTAACAATTGTTTTTAGTAAGACTAAATTAATTTTTTATATAACTATTTGGCTTATCATCAATCTTAGTAACATTTGATGAATTTTAAATTATTTTGATGCTGCTTGTAACTCTAACTTGTATAACACAAAAGTTCCTCAATAATTAACCAGATTAAAAAAGTCAGTCGAGTTTTAGGAAAAATTAAAATGCTTGCATGATTTTAAAGAACAACAAAACGAAAAAATCGAGCGTACCAAAATATTTATGGTCATTTAACAAATATATATTTTTTAAAGTTTCAAATTCGATAAGTAGATTAATCTCCATTCGTTGTGATTTCACAAAAAGTTATGAGTAGAGTAGTTAAGAGTAGAGTATAAACATAAATAATTTTCAAACATAACAAATCAATTTGAAAAACAAATTTTATTTAGAAAATTGCTAAATAAGCTCCTTAGTGTTTTTAAACTTCTTAATATTGCATATAGTTATTGATTTGAAAAGAGAAGCCCAATCAAAATTATTTATGAAATAAAAATGATTCGTCTGTCTTAGAAGATAAAAATTAGATGTGCGAGGACGGGTCAGGCCAATGCCACTCGTCTTCCTGATGGGCCTTCATTTGAAAACGTTCGCGTCTGCTTTGTTGCTGCCTTTCCAGATGCGACACCATGTTGCGCCTCAATATGTCTCTGTATTGAAGCTCGCGATTTAGTGCGCTGCGTTCCTGATAGCTGCAGAGCATCCTTCCAGCCATCCATTGCCTGTGCGTTTGCGAGATGAGCTCATTTGTCAACTGCAGTTTGGTGTTGGCCACACACATGAGGCGCCGATTTGGGCGTTGCAGCTCTAGGCGATGCAAATAGAGTGCGTAGCTAACGGTGCCACTTGCTTCTGCTGCGTTGTTGCTGCTGCTTTCGTACGACATGGTTGCCACTTGCTATGCAAAACTCTTACGATAACTCCACACGACTGGTCCAACGTCAAATGATGCAACCGATGGCAGTGCTCACGCTTTTTAAGCGCATGATGTAGGTGTGGGTGGCAGGTAGATAGAGGAATATAAGGGGCCAGGTAATCATAATTTGTGAGTCGATCTGGTCCATGCATTCATTACGCACGTGTCTTCTAGTAGTTGCTAGCCTATTACGTGTTTATGAGCTCAACTAGGTAGAAGGTAGCTGTCGAGCACTTGGTCGGTTCTGTAACTCGGATCATTAGGTAAGCGGAACTGCGCCAGACACAGAGGCAGGGCAATAAACGGTCAGAGTGCACTCACATTGGCCAAGAAAAATTAACGTCCACCTAATGACCGCCATGAGCGAGGCTGGAAAAAACTTTCTTGCATCATGGCGGCATATTTCAACATCGGCTGCAATGCCTCTAATGCGAAAGTTTCTCCCCGAAGAACATTCTTGCATCAGTCGAGCCAGAAACCTGCGGCAACGGCTTTGCTTGTGCACTCAAAGAAATTGTGCTAGTATTTAACTTCTATTTATTTATTTTTAGCTTACAAGATTAATAAAAAACTTCCTCAAAGCATTTTGGGAACTACTTGTACATCATTAAGATAGCTGTGGGATGTTGCATTTCTACTCAGTAAAACAATCGTTGTTAAATACACTTCGATTTGTTATTGAGAATTGAAAGACTAACTTAATTAAACAGCTTTAGGAAAATAACAATGAATAAAGTATTTTACAAATCATTTTGTGATTTATTTTGGACATTACTCGTAAATTTATTTACCACCTGTATCTTTCTTTCGTACATTCCTCATTAATTTTTTAGTTCCTCGCATTTCTTCTGAGTAAGAAATTCAAGATTATATTACATATATTTGAAGAAATAAATGAATAAAATCACAGCACTGGTTAAATATACATTTAAGGATAGAAGTTCTTTAGATGTAATTATTAAAATTATATATTACTACAGGAATTGGGAAACTTAGACGTTTGGGAAAAGCGACAACAAACAAAAGTTGTTGAGGCTGTGAAAACTACACAGCGCTTCCCTATTGATTTTGTTTATAATGCTTTCAAAATATTGCTAGCTCTTTCTGAAATGAGTAGCCATTATACCAGCTTATTGATGTGAAGCCGTCATGATCCTATAAATGATTTGTAGAAGAAGGCTTAAATAAGGTCCAGCAGGGGAACTTAGTTTAGTAAACTGAACTGGTTTAGCCCTAGTATTGCGCTATGAAGTTGATAGAGACTAGTTTGGATATTTTACACATTTTAATAAAAATGTGTAAGAGGGGAATATTTTGTTTTACGCTGGCTACCTTTATTCTTCTTAATTTTGTCCCGTTCTTATTCAGCGTGTGTTCCACCGTTTTCCATTTGCAAATGCGCTTTGCGTGTTGCTGCTAATTGGCAACAGTTGTCGGCGACTGTCCACCATGCTGCAGCTGCCTTCGTCGTTGCCAACGAATTTTATGCTATCCAGTTGATTCTATGTAGTATTGCTCATTTGCTCGATAAATGAACGCCGTTATGCTTTTAAAGGCATTCTGTGCCCGCCTCTTCATATTGGGAAACACGCATTGGAAACTAAACAACTCATTTAAATGACGTATTTAGAAATAAAAGCACATTATGCGAGTGATTATAGTGTTGGTGATGGTGGTTGTGATGGTCATGGAATTTGAATTTGAGGCGCCTGCGTTGCTGGCTCGCTGCTTCAGAAATTGCGGGCGTTTGTTGCATAACACGTGTATGTTAGTCAGCCAAAAGCTGTTGCAGCCGTTTGTGAAAAGCCAACTTAACACAAAAGAAGACAATAAAGGCAATAGCACATGAACAAATTAGAAATTACTTTTTATGCATTGCAAACAAATTTACACACAATGCGCACTTAGTCGGCTCGTGAGCTATGCCTTTGGCTTGTGGAGGGAGAGGGGCACGTCTATTACACATGAAGCTGCCTCATTAGGGCAACGCATGAGGCGGATCTGGAACCGTATGTATCGCACATTTCTATGCATGCGGAAATTAAAGTGTTAATGGATTCGTTACGTACGAGTATCGTTACAAGTGCGTGAGCTGCCTGGATGCATGGATAAATGTGCGGACGGATGGTTGGTTGGATGAATGCCGGCCTGATGATTTGGTTTGTTTGCATGTCATTTGCATGCGAAGCGATTTCAATTTATTGTCAGTTGGGTCACACAATTGTTGCAGTCAGTCATCGGGCTTACCTCAATCAGAGCCCAAATGCTAATTAACCCATTTTCCTGCAGCAATGTGCAAAGTGCGAAATGAACAGCAACACTCATACTAGCTACGACATATTGCACATATTTTCCTTTATCTTTTGTTCCTCCATTTGGACCACATTTTTGTGCCTGCACCTAAAAAAAACATTTTTGTGAAAATGAAAAACTTTGTCGTATTACAATTGTGGTCCGAAAACAGAAATTTTCCGCACCCTCTCACTCTCACTCTTGCTTCTATCACAGCGATGACCAAAAAAACTTTCGCCTTCTGTTTTTAGAAAACAGAAACAGAAATTTTTAACTATGAGCACGAGTACAAACTACACACAACTTTGGCAGCAACTGAAAAGCTGGACACATCAAAATGCACATAAATAATAAATATGTATGCACAACCAACCGGAGGAAGGACAACGTAGGGAGCGTTGAGGCCTGCAAGGATGCCAGGACAGCAGTGCAGCTGGACAGCAGGAAGAGGACACAGGCTGCAATCCATGGCAATGCACAAAAGCTTTTGTTCAGGCATCTCTCGCAACTGTTAATAAATAAAAGCGTTGCAAAATTATGAAATTAATTTCAAATTTTAATTATGCAAAAGTGGGTGGAAAATGTAAATTGAGCTCCGCACCAAAATCTCAAAAGTTTCAGCACAACCAACTATGTATGTTGTTGTGTGGTCGTGTGTGTGGCCATGTTAATGTTGTTGTTGTGTGTGTGTCTGCATGGATCCATTCAACGACATGTTGGCCTATTGTGGTCAACGACAGCATGGCAGAGAGTGAGAAGATTAGCTGACCAAAGGGGCAGCCCCAATCCAAATCCCCAATCCACAGGCCGCAGCCCGCACTCGTGTGACAGTCAGCGGTCGTTTTGTCGTTGTCGTCATCGTGTCGATAGCCAAAGCAGGCTTGCAATACACGAGTCGCGCCACACGGTAGCACTCTACTCTAGGCCTTTAAATTGTGGCATTAGTTGGCGCAACTGCAACATAAACACACACACAGAAACGTATTCGCCAGCACGCATAACTACTGCCAACCTGCTGGCCAATATAACACTTGGCTAGTGAGAATAAAGACCGCACTCGCACAGTGGGCACAAGCTACAAACAATGAGCTTGACTAAAATAGATCATAAATAACGAAAGGAATAATGTTCCTACGTTAATTCATTTAGGTACTTTTCACAGATAATGTTAACTAACAAACTGTTCAATCATATCCGAAAATGCGTATCAAACTGAACATAAGAAGGGTCCAGCCCAATTTTAGTTACTTTGAGTTACTTTTCTGGAACATCGCATAAAACTGTATATCTGATTATCTTAAAAACTAACCTAAAAAAGTACTGGATTGTTATATACTTTAGCATAACAAAATATAAGCTTTCGAACTGCAACTTGTTATTTATATTGGAAACCTTCTTTTTCAATTCCACTTAATTCATAAATATTATTCTTTGCTCATTGCTTTTGGTCCACTGTGCCCGATTGCTACTCAACCTTGATTAGGGCCTAAGCCCTAAATTAGTTGCCTTTGTCAGTACCAATATGCTGGTTGCTCTACTTGGTAGTAAGTTGTGCAAGACGCCAGCCGCTGGTCGCCTTTTAATGACCATGCGCTACTAAACAATCAAAGTGTTAATCGTTTGATTTTAGCCAACTCGAAATGCGGACAAGCCTGAGAACGAGAGCAGCAGCAGCATCAGCAACAACAAATAAACAAGCAAACATCAACTGAAACAACATTAATGCCAATAACAACAACCGGGCAGTTGTGAAACAACAACTTATGAGCGCACACTCAAATAGGCCCAATTAATGACAACTTGGACAAACCTCTTCGGCCAAATGAAATTTACTTGAAAGTCCCAAATGACGAAACTTTTCTTATTGATTTCTACGCACGGCTGCACCTAAACACTGAAGAGCGAGGCGGCAGCAGGTTTAAAAAGTTTTCTATTGAACAGTCATAAGAAAAATATTAATTAATAAAAAGACGATAAGGTAATGAAAAATTATTAAGAAAATTGACAAGGCAATAAGAATTTTTAATTGGCTGCTGTGGCGGATATTTGCTGCCTAGTGATGGGTGCGTGTTGAAAACATCTGTAAAGTGAATTATGTTCTGCAGAGATAAAACCAAAACAATTTATATGTATTTGTGATAAAGTTTTAACATTATAGAAGCAATTTATATACACAATATACCAAGAGATACACATACATCATACATACAATATTAATATTTCAACAACAATTGGTATTGGATATAAGGAAAAATTATATTATCAAAAGACAATTTTTATTTGTAATTGGCAGATCTTGTAACTAAAATACCATTTCATTTGCAGTGGTTCGTGGACTATTAATACTCGTATGTATGTAAGAATATGTAAACCAATGTAAAATCAAAGCAGCTACAACGAATGTATATTTGTATATGTATATTTGCAATCGAAATATTTTTGAAATGAATAATCTAATCTTTCCTGACAGAGCATGCACGCCCGATGACAATCGTATTATTTCTCTAATGCTTTGTTGTGGTAATCAATATAATTTTGTATGCAATTACACTTTACGGCCATCTCTATTCGTCTATGCCGATTGAGTGGCGCATCTTTCAATGCTCGCTCGACTGGCCAACGATTTGGTTTTAACCCGCAGCGACGGCTTGCATTTAAGCCTAATTAACTTTCTACTT